TGAGTTTTGGGAGAAGCACACCGTCCCAGCTCCTTAGATGCTCCTAGCTGTTCATGGTACAAATAAGAAAAATATTTGAAATAAGTAACAGGTATCTTTGGGAGGGAGCTGGATGCAGCATTAAGGCAGTTTCTGGTATTTTAAAATGCCTTCTAAAAACATACCATTCCATATTACAAGCAGAATTGCCAGCCCTTTTCTCCCTCCTTTTAAAATAATAAAAAATAAATAAATTCATCTGAGCTGCCTGTGCTTCCCGCAGCTGGGTGTGCCCTGCACCAAGCGCTAGATACTGTGTGTTCTCTCTGAAGACTGTTTATCATTCAGGGCCAAATGTTGTCAAACAAAATTTGTGTTTCATCAAAGTCAATTAACCGGCACTGGATAAAGTTGTCAAACAAAATTTGTGTTTCATCAAAGCCAATTAACCGGCACTGGATAAATGAACTGTTTGATTTCTCTGGCTTATGAAACCAATTCAGGTAGAAGAAAGCCCTTGAGTTAAATGAGGAGGTCTTGAAGGAAGTCAAGGTGTTGTAAACATGCTTTGAAGATCCTCTCATGCCTGGTTGAGAAGCGGGGGGTTTGGATTGCTTTTTGATGGGCTACGTGTGGAGGGTTCCTCGGGCAGACCTTCACCTTTGATGGTTTTGCCTTACGGTGTCTGGGAAGATGGAGCGATGCTGCTGGGGAACTTGTGCAAGGCTTTTGGATGCCTTTTGTGGTTCAGAAGGCGGCTGTTAGTCCTACACCCAGGGATTGGCCAAGGTCCTCTTCCCTTGAACGGCGTTGCCAGTAAAACTCTGGCAACGTGGGTGTGTTGGTTGCTGTGGGGTTTTTTTTAAAACTGAAAATGTGGTCCAAAAGTCCCATACCTGGGATGTGTCCCCCTGCTCCAGAGCTGAGGGAGCAGGAGGTGGGAAGCAGTGGAAGATAAAGGTGTCTTCTATTAGACTAGGTGTAAGGAAGATGGTGGTTACAATGAGGGTGGTGAGAGCCTGGCCCAGGTTGGCCAGAGAAGCTGTGGCTGCCCCATCCCTGGAGGGGTTCAAGGGCAGGTTGGAGGGGGCTTGGAGCAACATGGTGTGGTGGGAGGTGTCCCTGCCCAGGGCAGGGGGTGGCAATGGGGGGGCTTTGAGGTGCCTTCTATGCCAAACCATCCTGTGATTCTATGAAGGCTGCAGCCGATGGGCAGGGCAGCAGCAACGCGGCAATTTCATAACAGGAGTTATAAAGTCCAAGATGATGATTGCTTGAGTGAACTCTAGCCAAAGCCATGCCCTTCTTGGATTAAGGATGAACAGAAACACCAAACAGGATTTAGTAAATGTTGGAACGAGAAATGAAAACTGTGTTTCTGGTATGGATGATTCGAATGACGCTCGACTAGTTCCATACGTCTAGATCAGCAGATAACAGTGGTTAAAGAATACACACAAGTGAATTTTGTAGCAGAAGGTTCTGTGAACTTTCTGCTGAATTTCCTGCTTTTTTCCAGCTCTTCATATTGAGCTGGAGAAGAGGCGTGAGATTTCCACAGAGTCAGTTGTGTAGTGAAATCACGCAGTTCCTGGCCTGGGCAGAGAGCAGCCTGGCTAACTGCAAAAATAACATCTCATGCCGTATAGCATTAGACTTTCTAAAACTGGAAATACTATGCTGTGCTTTAGGCCTGTTTTCTGATTTCATTTAATTTTTCAACTTTGTGGAAATTAAGGTGACTTTGGTCCTTGCTGCAGGGGTGTTAGTTTTGTCTCCCTTGGCCTGGCTCTGCTCCTCCTGGGTGTTCACACTTTCGCTCGGGTCTCCCAGGACGAGGGAAAGGGAAATTAATTTAGCAGCATCCTCTTGAGAGCAGCAGGTACCAGTCACCACGTTCTTCATCTTCCAGTTCCAGGCCTGGTGGGAGGGAGGGAGGAGCAGGGATGCTGTCCCCTTGCCCAGCACCAAGCTGCTCCGACTCTTTTATCTTGTGGGAAAAGGTTTAAATCCAGGGAATGGGTGTGGATGTTGGAGGGAGAGAAGTTGTTCTGTGATTCTGCCTCCATCCAGCTCTGGCTGGGTCTGCAGTGCTGGGGCAGAACTCCTCCTCACCAGTCAGCCATGGGACTGGGAGGGAATGGAGCTTCCCGTGGCAGCATGAGGGGCTTGGGGTGGGAAAAACTGTGGCCCAGCAAACGGTACGTAACTTTGATCACAGCAGTAGAATTTTGGACAGTAGATTTTAAAAGTTTGTTATAACTACAAGTGGTGCGAACACTTAGTTTTGCAATTTCCTGTGTGCTGGAGTTAATTGCCAGCAGTGTTGATTGAGTAGACATTCTCTTCAAAGCATCTCTGGTGCTCGTGTTTCCTCAGCTCGGGCAGGTTTGGCTTCTGTTGCGCTTCCTGGGGCTGGGAGCCGGGGTCTGACTGGGGAGGTGAGGGCCAGGGTTAGCGAATCCCCACTAACTTCATTTATTTACACGTTTAGCACTAGTGTGATTTTAATGGCTTCGTGCACTTTGTAGGCACTGAAAATATGTCCGTGTAGAGATTTAGAAGATTAGGTACAAGCAAGTGTAACTGGAGTCACATCCGAACTATTGGCCAATCAAAAATTAAAAAGAATTTAAAAATCCGCAGCCCAATCCCCCTACAGTGGAAATGACTCTCCATGAAGATGTTTGTCTTTCACTGGCTGGGGGAGGCGTGGCAAAATGTGATTAATTGGTGTATTTCTGATGACTAATTTTCCATTGACCCGGCAGGTATAAACCAGCCGGATCAGCTCTGGTTTTGCTCCAGCTCTGATCTCAAGTGGATCTTTGCTTTAATGTTCCTTTCATGTGATGGTGTTGATACAAATGTTGGGTTTTTTCCTCAGTCCCAAGAGTTATAGTAAATGTTGATACAGTTTTGAAACATGAGTTATAGTAAATGTTGATACAGTTTTGAAAGATGATGCTTATAGAATCATAGAATGGTTAGAGTTGGAAGGGACCTTAAAGACCATTGAGTTCCAACCCCCTGCCCTGGGCAGGGACACCTCCCACCAGACCAGGTTGCTCCAAGCCCCATCCAGCCTGGCCTTGAACATCAGGCTTCTGTCTGTAAAAAAAATAGTAAATATCTTTGTTAGTATTTACCCATCTATTTGTGAAATGGAGGTGTAAAAATCTTAATTATAATTATGATCTTCTAACTGTGTAGCTGTGTCTAATTCACAATCTTGGTGTATTGATGTGAGTGAACTCCTCGAAGATGGGGTGCTCCTGCTCCTCGCCTCATATTTTGCCTTTAATAGTAAAATGGCAGAGATTCAAACTGTTCTACTTGGCTTTAACCAATCAGTATCTATAATTAAATCTGATATTTGTCTCTGTTTAAATCCTACATATATAAAAATTGAGCTGCAGTTTGAAAATGAGCTTTTTAAGGCTCAAACCTTTAAAAAAGTTTGCCATTGATGTCCCAGTGCTGGGGGTGGTTTCCTTGCCACGCTCCGGTGTGCGGGTCCTGCTTTCAGGAGGCAGCCTTGATGCTCACTTGTGCTCACATGAGTTTGGCTGATTACAGGATAACTGGAGAAAAAAGTCATTTTTCACATATAATTTAAAAGTGTAATGTATTCCTAGGCTTGATACGAGCATGGGGTTGGGTTACAGGAATGCTTTCACCTTGTTTACGGTGCAGGGAAACACAGCAAACCCATTGCCTTAAAAAGAGAGATTTAAGCTTTCACTGGGGGCTTATTCTGGTTTTGGCATCCTCTTAGATTTTACGGTACTCAGAGCAGTAGGAAAAATGAAGCCAAATGAGTAAGAAATTACAGTAAGAGGCTAAAATGTTCCGAAGGTGAAAAGGCCAATATTTTAAAAACCAGGGGATAGGTTGAAGTCCTCGTGTTTAGAATGGGACAGCTGGTTTGCGTAGCTTTCAAAGCAATGCTGGAGCAATTAATTTTGTTTTTTTAATAGTCAAGCAGCTGTCTGAAAACATGAAATAAAAAATTTCTAAGCAGAAGACATTTTCATTTTAGACTGCAAATTATGTGGAAGAACATCTATTTATTTCCTAGAAGCACCAACCGTACTTTTTGCAGATTAGTAAGGCACGTTTATAAATCTCTTTCCATGAAGTATAGAGCGTGTTAGAAGAGTTAGTACCACCTTATTTATCATCTTATTTTGTTTATTCCTTTAAGTCCCAATGCTTTATCAAGCTCAAAGGAAATCTTTTCCAACTTTTTTTTGTGTGTGCATTGCAACAATTTGGAGTATTTCTGGTAACCGAAGCAGCAAGACCAAACTGCCAAGTAAGGTTTGTAAGAGGGGAGATTAGCAGGTTTTTAATCTGCATTTTTGCAGTAGGAGAACACTGTTTGGTCTAAGGCAAAAGGTACGATATTGCCACGACTTTGCTGAAATTACTGCTCTGAGTACAAATGTCTTTGGGGAGTTGGAGGAAGGGAGACCTGGAAACAACATCAAAGCTTGAGGTTAGAATATGTTGGAGAAAGGGTGCCAATAAAGGTATGTCAGTGGCAAAAATAACCCCAAATGTGCATGTGAAGTCAGGCACTGGATGGGTGGGGGATGAGAGAGTAAAATTGCAGAACATTTGGGGGATGTGGAGGAGAAAAAGTATTTTAGAAATGAATGGGAGATGTGCAGCGTGGGCTGAAATAGCTCCGTGATTCAGGCAGGTGAAATGGTTTGAAATAGTTACTTGCCCGAGGACTTTGTGGATTTTTTTCATTTTTTTATTACTGCATGAACTTTCCCTGGCAGGAGCTACCTTAGGGCAGGAGCTACCTTAGAGCAGGAGTTGTAGCTCTGCGAAGTCTGCGGTGCCTTAAATTGGACAAACTTCTTTTCAGGTTTGAGGAGTTACCATCAGCAGGGGGTTCTTAATCCGAGATTCTTCTTTGGGTAGAACAGGTACAGGGGCTCTCTGTGAGCACCCCCCTCCCTCCTCCCTCCCTTCTCTCATCAGAAATTCTCTTTTTTTGTTCGTAGCAACATGAACCGTGAAGACCGGAATGTGCTGCGTATGAAAGAAAGGGAAAGGCGAAATCAAGAAATTCAACAGGGTGAAGAAGCCTTTCCACCAAACTCTCCTCTCTTTGCTGAACCCTACAAAGTTGTGAGTTTATACAGTTCTTATAAATGCTTTTGGTTTTTTTTACCAGAAGTTGTATACAAATTCGTACTTCGAATTTATTGTTGTCTGTGCTCTTTTTAGAGCTCTTATGTCAACCAAGTATCTAAGCAGAGCTTGAAAATAAGGATGGACTACTAATGGCTCTACTGGCAGATTTATTATAATGCTTACAAAGGAGGGGCTGCTTTGTAGGGGGTGAGAAAAGGGATGATAAACCCATAATTTTTTTTTGCTTTCTTCAGCTTTTGCTACACTGACTCAAAGCAATTAAACTGTCCCTTGTGTCATGCCAAATTGTTCTTTTTTTGGGGTGCTTTAGCCTGTTGCTAAACTTCCTAACCTTCAATCAGTGCAATCCAGACCTGAGTAAACTGAGAAAGAGAATGATTAAATAGGTTAATTCTAAATGCTGAGATGCCCCATATGATAGAATTATCAGCTTTAGCTAATGGGCCAGTAGTTTGCATCTGATTTTTTTTTTTTTTTTTTAGTTGGTTTTGAGGGAGTTGGCTCTGTTTGTCATCTCTACAGCTTTAAGCCTGTGCTGGGTTTTCTTCCAGCTTTGGTTTGCTGAGCAGAACTGGAAACAATAACCTAATTCTGGGATAACTAAGAAAGTACCATTTAAGAGTTTAATTATGTAGCTCAAAAGTTGCTTTGAAAGCAAAGCTGCTCCCTCATCACAATGTCAGCTGGTGTGCAAGAAGTAAAACATTGTGACTGAAACCTGTATTCCTGCAGGAGGAAAGTTGAGAGATATTTGGGTTTTTTTATTCCTGTCCTCCCATCCCTTCGCTGTGCGGGATGACCACATCCCACCTGAATGGTGTTCCCGGGATGCGGGACACCTGATGTGAAAACAAACTGGTGTGTAAGGAAGAACCCTTCCTTATGTATAATCTTCTTGGCAACAAGAATTATGCTGGTATAAATACCAGTTAAAAATTACATCCAGTGGTGGGGTTAAGCTGATTTTATTTTACTAGTTAAGCTGATTTTATTTTACTAGTTAAGCTGATTTTATTTTACTGTTAATTAAACTTTTTAAGACTAATACATTCTGCATTAGAGAAATAATCTTTAAGGAGAGAGTCTTTAAGGAGAGAGTCTTTAAGGAGAGAGTCTTTAATGTGAGAGTCTTTAAGGTAACAGCAGGCATCTACTATGTTTGATCTTGCACCCAGCTCACCAGTGTGTTATTTGAAGCACTCATTAGTGCTGTTTCAGCTGCTCCTGCTGCTGAAATACACCTTTTCCTTGTGCTTTAAGGGGTTAAATTACTGCTTTAAGAACTAAAATTGGGAATTGGAAACAATGTCAAAAAAAGACATGGATGCTAGCCATGCTCTCAGCCCTGAAATTAGGATTAACAGCCATAGTTGTCAAGTCAATTAACTGAAAGTGAAATTGCGATTTTTTTAAAGTGTTGGGTTTTTTAATTATTTTCCCAGACCAGCAAAGAAGACAAACTGTCTAGTCGCATTCAGAGCATGCTTGGTAATTATGATGAAATGAAGGATCTTATAGGAGACAGATCGCTACAAAAGCTCGTTGGAATTCCCAAACCGACCGTACCGTCGACGCCAGATGAAAAATCAAACCAAAGTTTCTTTGGTGACCAGAGACATAACGCTGGCTCCCACCAGAGCAGCAAATGGACTCCTGTAGGACCTGCACCCAGCACTTCCTCCCAATCTCAGAAACGGTCCTCGGGTTTGCAGAGCGGACACAGCAGCCAGCGTGGCAGTGGCAATAACACTAGCGGCGGCGGCCAGAGGCACGACCGTGACTCCTACAGTAGCAGCAGCGGCCGCAAAAAAAGCCAGCATGGGTCTGAACACTCCAAACCCCGTTCTTCCAGCCCTGGAAAACCATCTGCTGTTTCTTCATTGAGCTCCAGCCATTCGAGGTCTCATGGAAACGATCATCACAGCAAAGAACATCAACGTTCCAAATCCCCCCGGGATCCTGATGCCAACTGGGACTCTCCCTCCCGTGTTCCCTCCTTTTCAAGCGGACAACACTCTAACCAGTCCTTCCCACCCTCACTAATGTCCAAGTCCAGTTCAATGTTGCAGAAACCCACCGCCTACGTCAGGCCGATGGACGGGCAGGAATCCATGGAACCAAAGTTACCCTCCGAACACTACAGCGGGCAGACTCACAGCGGTGGCGTGAACGAGCTGAAGCCCAGCAGCAAAGCACATCTCACCAAGCTGAAAATCCCCTCCCAACCGCTAGATGTAAGTTGCCCTCTCATTCCTGCCTTCTCAAACCCAAGTCCCTTTGGGCTGGGATTTTCCAGCTTCTTTACAATCCCAACCTACATAACCCAAAGTTAGTTTCTAGTAAACACTGCTGGTTTTTTTTCCTTACACACACATCTTCCCTGTACACATTTCAGATGTTTTATTTTAAATGAGGAATGTACAAAGTAATTATTTTTTCCTTCTGCTTCTTCCACATGGATACTGTGATTTTTATTGAATAAAGACCGTGAGATGTTCAGAAAGGCTAACTTAACCCAGAAAGGCTTATTTTCATAGAGTATTTCTGTAGTCAGAAGTTGGTGAAGCAGTAGGATATTCACAAATATTTTGACAAGCTGGATACATACATTGTCATTACTGGGTGCCGTGTTGTCTTAGAACAGTGATACCATCTGCACGTATCAGGTTCTCTTTTGAAGTGTGTAGCAATTACTAGATGTGATTATTAGAGCTTCACCTGGGGAAAATAAGCTAACCCTAAAGCTCACCAAATTGCACAGGGTTCAGATTTTGTATGGGGTGTGCTGGATACAAAATAGCGTTGGGTTCACAACTTTTAGTAGTTGGGTAATTCCCAGATTGTTAAGACACAGCCTGACTACAGCTCACTTACAGGGAGAGCACCTTTCTTAGTAATAAAATGTCATTCCATCTCCTGTTTAATTGCTCGAATCACAATAATTAGAGAAAAGCATTTGTTCCTGGGATTTCCACAAATAGCAAAATAAGATCCAGGACACAGGTAAGGAAATTTGAAAATTAATTATTTTCTTATTTGTGAAGACTTGAGGTGCTAAAGCTGACGCAGTGAATCGGATGGTGCCTTCGCTTCCTTTCTGCTTGTGGCAGTGGGGGATGCAGAAGTTTGATAATTATTGCTGCTTCTAGATTGATGCTCTGATGGCCGTTACACTTCATAGCGCGGTTTGTCGTTACTGTGTGTTCACAGGCAGGCAGCTGAATTCAGATATTATCCAGTGGCTTCTTCCAGGAAATGATTGAAAGCTGCGATTCTCGTTCTCTTTAGAAGTTTTTAATATCACTGACTGCTTATTATCACTCTAACTGTCAAGTGAAAAGTAAGAGATTATTGTGGCAGTTTTATAGATCTCCTCTATTTGCTTTTCATAACGGGATGTGACTCATGCCATAAAATATGGATCTATCTGATATGGAAAGTAATGTTGCTGAAAAGAATTAGCAAGGTGTGTTTGTATCTGTAGAGAGTCCCTATGAATCACGATAAGGACTGAAGGGTTCTTTTAACTGTTTCTAGCCTCTGGGATCTTTTAAGGAGAATTTGCTGTAGGAGATGTTAATCTTGAGTTTTGATTTGTAGGCATCAGCGTCTGGTGATGTGAGCTGCGTGGATGAAATTCTGAAAGTGAGTTCTCTGTGCTTTTGTTCCTAACTTATTTGTTGACCGCACAAACATTACTAAGGGGGTGGAAAGCACTCTGCAGCTGATTAGTGCCTTTTAAATTGACTGGGCTGCAAGTCGTTACAGGAGGGCTCTTCAGCTACTCCTCCAGCACAGGTAGACTGGGAAGAAGTGGCAGCGGAGCTGGGCACTGGGTGCTGCTGGGTGTGGGGGTCACTGCAGTCCTGCTCTTCTGGGCCACCTCCCTGGTAACCTCACCAGAATCACCCATTCCTTCCACCAAAGTACACTCCTCACATTCTGATACTTTAATTCTAGATTATAGTCTTATTTTTACTACTCCATGGCAGAACTTTCCCTTCTCTTCCACCTGGGTTATTTTCTGATGGATTTTACCCCCCATTTCCCCTGGTCCCGTGTCTGCCAGCACAAAACAATCACCAGATTCCCCAGGAGCATTTCTGTGGTTTGCCATTTGCTCTGACCTTCAGTACTCCATGGCCCCTGGAGATGCTCAGAGAGAATACAAGGCACTTTCCAGCTTCAGGCATTTGATTTTCCCCCCTTTCCTCAAATTTTGTAGGCTTCCCTTTCCTAGGATTCTTCTTTCTACCCCATATCTTACATGTGCTCTTCACAGTGTGAAATGATCAGACTCTGACTTCTGCTGCAGTTTATGTTTGGGCCAAGCAGTGTTATTGCTGTGTGCCTTTCTGCTTCTTGTTACGTCCTCACTGGCTGTTCTCATGGGGAGCAATTTATGGCTCAGGTTTATACGTATAACCTTAGTTACACATTTGGGAAATGAAGATTTAATATAAAGCTTAATGACGTGTGGACAATGAACTGAAAATTGAGAGACAGGGTTACCATTTGAATCAAGATCGTAACTTGACATCTTTGTGTTAATTTTGTTAATAGCTTTTCTCTTTTGTTCTGGCTACAGGAGATGACGCACTCTTGGCCTCCTCCGCTGACTGCTATCCACACGCCATGCAAAACAGAACCCTCCAAATTCCCTTTCCCAACAAAGGTCAGTCCAGGAGTCAAACCCTGATTGCTGTTGAAGGAGTAACTCCTGTTAAAGATCGGGATTTTGGAACTCCTTTAAATTCAATTCTGTGTAGTTCTGGGTCTGTTTCAGTGCTTTGTATCTCTTTATCTTGCTTCACAACAACATTTCTCAGCTGTAGCCTTATAAAGAACGTCATGGTTTTTCCTCTGGTTAACACACACACAGAGCAGCCTGCAAAGATGTCTGTAATATGGCTTTCCTTTTTATTTCATAAATTCAAACCTTCTTCAGGATACCTCTGAAGCTTGAAAATACCATTGAGCCTTTTTCCCCATTAGGGAAATGCTTTGCACTGTTTCGTGTGGAACCATTTTGTGTTGTGTTTTCCTCCATCTGGAAAAACAGTGGAGACTGACAGGTGTATACTAAGAAATTTAAATGTATTTTCTGCATAAACTGGATTTTCCTCATAATTTTGAGGTCTGACAGCGGCTTTATTAGATCTTGTATTTTCAATTACAAAAAAATAGAAGTTTTAAAATCAGGTGTTTGGCTAAAGAAGTTTTCATCTCTCTTGTTCTGAAAGATCTCTTCTAATCTCCATATACTTAATAACTACTGAAGTGTGTAAGAGACTAATTCTAAAGAGCAATCAGGCTCTCCTTGCCACTGTTGGCAGTTTGGGGTGTGTTTCCAGGAGACGTGCTTGAGCTGCCAGCCCTGAAGAAGGTGTCCTCTTGCTCTCAGCTGCTGGCTCCATCCCTGTGGAGCTCCAGCCACCCCAGTTGCAGGGTTTTGGGGCAGACTGGCACTGGTAGTGGTTTCCCAAGAACACGGCTCTGCGACGGCAGCGTCTTGGGTCATCAGGGTGGAGATGGGAGGGGAGAGAGCTGTGGGGAGCAGCCTCAGCGAGTTCAGCTCGCCATTGCTGACTCATTCAAGAATTCACCTTTTGTTTCCTGTATCTACTGATTACCAGTAAAGGATTGAACTCGACAATATCATGATTTTTTTTCTTCTGACTCAACATATCTCTGAAATGGATTGAGATACTCTGCCCCTGATTTGGTATAACTTCAGAGTGAAGAAATGATGCTCTTCGTCTTTTAAACATTGCCGCCTTAATAATGAAGACTCTGCTTTTTCTGAGCAGAGTGCTGGTGTAGAGCACTGCTTGCTGCTCTCAGTTCCTTGTTTGATCCAAATTGCTCCCCAAAACAAAACATTGAATTTTTTTAAGAAGATTTTCTCACTGAGGTCTCTGACATAGTATGTCTAAACAGATTGTCTTATGTGAATGCTTTGACATCACCTTTTTTTGGGTAAAGTGTCTGGGTCCTGTGCTGTAAGTGCCCATCCACAGAACCCCCGCAGTGGGTGTGAGGTTGAACAGCTCGGGTCCTCATCCTGGCTGGATGTCCCAGAGCTGGGGACAGTCCTCTTGTCATCCCCTCTGTCTCGTGTCTTCCTGTCACTCCACATCTTGCTCCCTTCTCCCCAGTGAGCTGAAAGTACAGAACATACCCTGCAGATCTCAGCTCTGCTTTCAAAGGCATATCTAAAGACAAATGTCATTATCTACTTTCTTAACACTATAATGATGAGCTAGATCAATATTAATGTTGCCTATATTAATTTCAGTCGAGGCTTATTTCCTATGTTACATAAAGCTGTGAACTTGGAAAGAATTCTTACCTTTTTGTAGTAAAGCAAGAAATCCCACATCTTTTGTCCATTGCTTTGAATACGTCTTCCTGAAGCTCTGGGAGGTGGTGTCCCTTCACACACGGCTCGTCATATGTGGTTGTGGGGTTGCTAGAACTGCTTGTTTCTGCCTTTCCCTGGTATTTGACTCAGTCTGGGGAGAAAGAAGATGTGTGGAGATATCTGTGACTCTGTGACACAGAGAGAAACTGCGTCAGATCGCACGGTGTTGGTGTCTGAGCCAAAAAGGTAGGTTGGGGTTTTTTGAACCTCTCGACCTGGATTGTGTTTCTTCACCCCGTTTGCAAAAAAATTCCATTTATGGCTGCTCTGAGCCTTTTGACTTTTCGCCAGCTTTTTTATTTTGTGGCTCCACATCTTGGCCGTGGAACTTTGTCAACCTCTCGCTCGGCATCCAAGGCCTATAATTTCCTCTGCCTTCTCCCCTCTGTCATTCTTGGCAGCAGGATCTGCTCAGAATTCCAGTGAGTTAGCGAGCCATAGGCTTGTGCGGCCGGGACCCGGAGCAGACTGCAGAAAACAAAACAAAGCAGTGCTTTACTTTAATCAACCGATGCTGTTTGAGCAAAACTTGTTTTTCGTACTGTGCTCGATCTATTTACAAGTAATACACCTCTGTGTTTCACAGTGTTCCTCCTGTGTGCACAGGTTTGCTGTGTTTTGCCTGAGCACATAAAATTAAGCTCCCTTTGGTGGACCAGTCAATTTTATTTGTAAGGCTGTTGGGATAAGGTGATTTTCCCTGTGTGCAAGTAGCTTGGAGGGACCCAGCCTCCTGACTGGGGCCTCTCTGCCTTTACTATAAATATATCTAATAATTGTTGGGAAGTCTTTGAATCAGAAGATAAAACTTCATGAAAATAGGTCAGGGAAAGTTTTATGGATGCTAAGAAAAAAATGTAGATTCCTGAGCCTTGATAAAAACTGTTACCCAGTGACCTAACACTCTGTAATTTTATCTGGGTAACTTTTTTTTAAGCCGTGGGCTCATAGTCAAAAACTCCAAAAATACTGGCATGTTTGTAAAAGATATTAAACCCCCCAAGCTGTTTCTTAGACGGTGGAAGTTTGAATTTCACAGCACCATGAGAGGGTTGGCAGTTCCTGTCCCTGCGTGGGGACCCCGAGGTGTCTCTGGAGAGGTGGGTCCTGCCCCCAGGTCTGTTCAGCGGCGGGAGCTGCCGATGGGGCCACCAGTCCCGTCCCTTCAGCTGCTGTAATATGTAATACTGAAACTCTTCTGAGAAATAAAAAGCAGATCTGACCCAAGATTGTGAACGTGAAATGGGAAGGGGTCCTGTGTCCCTGTGACTCCCACCAAGCTGGGACCCCCCAGTGGAGAATCCACTCCCTCCTGCCCCTCTCACCCGCTGGCGGGTGCTTTTCTCTCTGCAGGTTCTGTGTTTGAGTAAAAGCTGCAATTTTTGTCTCCTGCTTAAGTGTCTCCAGTATCTAACCTCAGTAGTCTATTAGACTTTGGCTAAAAGGGTTTCCTTCCCCTAAGTTGTTTTGAATTTCTTCTTTCTGAAGTAGACCTTTAGAAGATGCTGCTCTGCATAACTTCGGACTTGAAACTATAGCTTTTTTTTTTTTTAAATCTCAAAGTTTCATGAAGAAATCCGTATTCAAAGACAAAATAAGATGGCAAGAGAGCTGGAAAAAGTTGCACATTTAGACATAGCACCTCGTTAAAGTGCACTGAAGTGACAGGTTGCTCTGTGCCTTAGGACCAGGGAGTTGAAAGAAGCAGGCGATGGGGCAGGTGCTTTTGTTACCGGTCCGTGTGTCAGGGAGGACGGGTGCCAGTCCCTCCTGGTGCTCAGCCCGGCCCTGGTGCTCTGTCGATGTGCTGTTCCACCACCGTGGGGTCCTTGCTGCTTTTCTGACTCCTGGTTTGTGGTCTCCTCTAAGCTGGCAGTGGAAAAGGCAGTGAGGGAATCCCACTTGTGCTCCTCGCACCTACGTGAAAGATAAAAATCAGTTTTTATTTTGAAGGAAGTGTGGCTGTTGCTTTCTTCTGAAGTCACAAGGCTTCTCTCCGACTTCATCTTCACTTTGCACTTTAAACATAGGTTAATTTTTTTGGTTTTGCTTTGCACTTTAAACATAGGTTAATTTTTTTTTTCCCTTCCCTTCTTTCAATTAGTAAAGATCAGAGGCATCTGAAACACCTTACAGGGAAAGTTCCATATCAAGTTCCCTATCAACAAAATACTGTTCAAGGCATCATTGCAACTGCTTTCACTTTGGAAATAAAAAGTTCAGGGAAATTTGAAATATCTAAGTGTGCTTTGCAGGGTAAAGCCTTTGTGTGGTTAAAAAATGAATTTTTGTAAACTACATGTGTACCTGCTGCACTTGGCTGTTTGGGAAGGCTGGGTCACAGGTGTATGAAAAACCCCTCCCTGGAATTGGTTGCTGAATTGTGGTTCTGCTTTGCTGTTGCCAGAGCATTTAGGTAAAACACATGTATATAACTTTGTGAATTGAGTCAAATATTTTCAGTTTTTATTTATATGGCCAGTGTTTGTCCTCATTTTAAAATGAGGTCAGGAAGGTCCCATTTTAAATGGAAGGGGTTTGGGCAGAGCTGTTCAGATTGTAACTTTCATTGTCCCTTGGGCTCCTTTACAGCTGAAATATATTCTTTTTATTATTGCTAGGTTGGTACTATACTCATTGTTTGTCCACCACAGTGCTGTGCGTCTCAAAAAGAACAATGCAGAGCAAAGAATTTAAATGAAAATCCATAAAATGAGCAGCAAAGCTTTTCTATATGTAAGGAAAATAAAGAAAAATATAGTAAACATGCTAAACGTACATGGAGGTGGGATTAATCCATAAAATGAGCAGCAAAGCTTTTCTATGTGTAAGGAAAATAAAGAAAAATATAGTGAACATGCTAAACGTACATGGAGGTGGGATCAGGGAAGTTCTGTAGGGATTTTGGAGTTGGAGCTGTCACATCATACAACTGCACATGGCCCTTCTTAGAACCGAGCAAGTGGGGGAGCTGGGCTGAGGAAGAGGAGGGTGAAGCTCCTTCCTTCTGGTGGGGCCCAGACACAGAATCCCTCTTGCTCTTGTGGTGTGAGGCTTTTTCCCCTTTTTTCGAGGTCAGGTGCCATCCTTTAAGTGGAAAGAATATCTTGATTACAGCATGGGGTTTGATATGTTAAAATTCCCAATGAAAAAAACCCACTTGTGATCTTTTATTCCCTTAGGAGTCTCAGCAGTCCAGCTTTGGCACTGGGGAACAGAGTAAGTAAATGAAACTTCCTGCGCTGTGTGTAATGTTTGTGTTGTGATTCAGTGTTCTTGGTATGTCATGCTTTTTAGAGCAGGAGATTTTCCAGACTTGTCATAGGATGGAGTCTTAAGATGCTTTTTAGAGCAGGAGATTTTCCAGACTCGTCATAGGATGGAGTCTTAAGATTTTTCTGTATTTTCTCAAGTTTTAACCTATAAAACAATTGCTTGATTTTCTTTCACGTTTCTTGTTGAGATCTGGAAAGTTATGACTGAGTTACAACATTGGTACTGTCTTCTAGAAAAATAAAAAGTATCTTTAATTTGTCATGTTTCTAATTCCTCAAAAAATGCCTCCTTGGTTGATCTAATTGAAAAGAGCTGAGTACTAAAAACACCCTTTTAAAAAATCCAAATCCCTGCTGGGGGACATATTAGAAACCAAAATAGTGCTGATGTTTATATTTCAGTAGAAAAAAGGACATTGCAGTTTCACTGTTCATTTTCACTTTGTCACATTTTAAAATCAAGTAAGAGAACTGGTCAGGCACTGGGACAGCAATATGCTTAGCTCTGTCCTTGAATTCCCTGTCCCACAGTGCATTTTCAGATTTTAGACAAAAGCAGCTTTTATTTCACTTTAACTGTATCGTTGTTTTGAATATTGAATTTGAACATTGGATTAGGTTTGTGCTGTTACCTTTCAAAAGTCTTTCTGCTCCCTCTTGAAGTGATTAAACATATTAAATAGTAAAAGAAGAATGGTTTATTCTTCGGTATTCACAAACAGCTTAATCTAAACACCTGATTCAGTGGGGAATTAAGGAAACAAATTAAAACTTAATTCCATAATGCTAAACCATAGACTTAGGTTATGGGAGCAGCTGATCTTTAGGTGTGTCAGTGCAGAGGGAGCTGAGACACAGAACCAGTTTTTAACTCCTGTTTGAATTTTCTGGGAAATTTTTAACTGCCTCAGTTCTTGTTTCTGTTGAACTGCACAATTTGCCAGAATTAAAGAAAAGGGAAGGAAAAGGCCCCCAACCTGAAAAGCAGATTATATCTGTGTGTATTCCTATTATAAGAGTTGGTTTGTGAGTTTGATTTCTGGATCTCTTAGCCCAGCCTGTACTTCTGGCAACTTGGGAGTGACTTATTTTGCTGGCTGAGGTTTCAACTGGGCATTTCTTTTTTCCTTTTTCTAGAACGATACAATCCTTCATCAAAAACATCCAACGGTCATCAATCCAAATCGTAAGTGGCTGTTAAGAAAAAGTTTCTCAAACTACCATTGAATTTTAAGGGGAAAATAGCTGTTTCTTGTACTGGAATGTGGCAGTTCTTGCGCAGAGCAGACCCAGATCTAGTTACATTTGTTCTGCCTGGTCTCTTAACTGAACGGGAAACACTTCTGTTAGGTCTCCACACAGACCCAAGCTTTTCTTTGTCAATTGTGCAACTGGAAGAAACGATAAAAAACAACTGGAATGTTCTAGGTAGCTGTAACTCACCTTTCTCATACCTGAAAATCAATTACATGCCGTAAAAAAAGATTGTTTCCAAACAAATATGTCCATGAAAATAAACGTTTACCAGCTGCTTGTATGTTTAATGAGTGAAAGTGGTTGTAGAGGAGCTTGAACAGGGGTGCGTAGGAAGAAAGTTTAGAAGTTTACTGTGACCATACAGTTTTAAATAATTTTTTAAAAAGAAGTGATTGTAATCTTGTCAATAAACCAAAAAAAGGAGATAAATGCATCTTTTGGAAAAGGCTAGCAGTGAAAAATATTTCAGGAGCTATATCCTAGAGGCTGGTGTATTTTTTCAGATCATCAGTAGAACAGCTATACTGTGACATGCAGGAGTGTTAGACTTTTAATTTTTTCTTGTTTTCTTTCTCCAGATGTGAATCGAACCAGACAGAGTAAGATGTTTTATTTTTTTAGTCAAAAGTGCTTTTCAATAACCACAAAGGCCCTGTACCCTGCTTTGTGTGTTCAGTCCGTTCACATATTTTCAATATTGTGAAATAGTGTGTGTGTGTGTCTGACTACCATAAATAATTATGGCTTTGAATAATAATAAAATAATTGGGGCTTAGGACAGTTGTGCTGTTGCCATGGGACAGGAAATGGCCACTAATGTGAGCTTTCTGGGTTCCGTTTCAAACGGTCTTCTTGGCCATTGTGTGTAAGAAGTTGAAGGTACACGTTGGCTCCTCCCGTGTTAGTAAAATGTGTCAAATTTCCTTTCTAAAATTAACAGAATGGAGTGAGGAGTCAAGTACCAGAACCCTTAGTTTTCTCTCAAGAATGACTTAACTCACCATTCCTAAACATTCGATGTTGGAGTGGTGTCTTGGGGATTTCACCCACGCAGCCCGCGCTGTAGTATAAACAATAGCATGTTGAAATGTAGAAGAATGCTTTGAAAGTAATTAAAGGACATGGAAAAACTTGTCTCACTTTCTCCCTTTTCCTTAGTATGTTGAAAGATGACTTAAAACTTAGCAGTAGTGAAGACAGCGATGGAGAGCAGGTATGTTCATGGCATCAGTTTCAGAAAAACACACCAAACACACTCCCGTTTGTTCGATGTTCTCACTGCAAACTGGGATTTATGATAAACAAAATCAAATGGCATGTTTTTAGACAAACTGCAGGTATTCCTAAATGTAAATTGGGGGAAAATTCTATCTTTTGTTGAAGCTGTAGGCTTTTATCTAGAAAATCTTGGTTTACTGATTTCAAATTGGCTTTCTCTGACCATAAAATGGCAAGAGTGGACTTTAAAACATATGTAATGGCCACCTTTTAAAGAGAGCACCCCTGGTGTTCTGCCACTCCAGCTAAAGAGCACGTGGTGTGAGCATCTCTGTGTGTTGTAGCATGGGACTGTGTTGGGGTGACAAAGGATGCTGTCCCTGTAACTAGGGGTATAGTGACATCTTTATTTTTATCCAAAAGTCTCTTTTTTCCTCTTTGTCAGTATTAACTTTGTGCAGCTTCTGCCAGAACCAGCATTTAACTTGCTAAATCAGAAATACCTGCAGGGTCTGTGCTACCCAGCAGCAATCCACGCTCCTCTCTTGGGCCTTTTCTTCCTCTGCCCAGTTCCAGAACTTTATTTTCTTCGTGTGGAGAACTTTGAGAATAGGGTATGTAGTTACTTTGTGCAGCTTCTGCCAGAACCAGCATTTAACTTGCTAAATCAGAAATACCTGCAGGGTCTGTGCTACCCAGCAGCAATCCACGCTCCTCTCTTGGGCCTTTTCTTCCTCTGCCCAGTTCCAGAACTTTATTTTCTTGTGTGGAGAACTTTGAGAATAGGGTGTAGTCGGTTAACTCCTGGTGCTCTGGGCATCTCAGAACAACGTTGTTGAATGTTGAATCATCCGATCCAAAAAGCTGGAAGCGTGGTGTTAGTGAGTGGTGGGAACAGGAACTGGCAGAACTGTAGCCGCAATATGCAGGACTGAGACCCTGGGTTTTTGGTGAAAATTTGGAGAAAACTCTTGATTTATTTGCCTTTCTGCATAAGAAAATACAGACAAATTTAAACCGCTGCAAGTACTGAATTAAGATGCTATTCAGGCTAAATAATTTAAAAAATGTAAAGGCTCTAAATCGATGCTTTGCAATTTAATTATATATACGATCCTAAAGTAGCTTCTAGAAGCTTCATGCTCTTTTTCTTAATTGCAGGACTGCGATAAGACCGTGCCAAGGAGCACACCTGGAAGGTAGGCATTCCTGGAAGATTGCGGCATAGGGAGCCGAGCGGTGATATTCTGTCCAGTCAGCACTCCTGGCTTGGTCTCGTTTCTAAAATCCATGCTTGTTTTTTGCCTTGTGTTAAAGCAAAAGATGATTAGAATTTAATCAGTGATCAAATAGGATATATCCTGCAAATTATAGTAACAACTTTGGGAAGGGGGAGGAAAAAACCCAAAGGCTGCAGTTTGTTCCCAGAATGAACTGTGTTCAGTTACGTTGAATTTTCTAGTAAATGTTAATTAAAATACTACATTTTATTCTTTCTAATGAAAGGACTTCTAGGATATATTTGTGCCTTGGGTACCATTTGCTTACTGGCCCTCCTTTTTTGTTTTCAGTAATTCTGAACCTTCGCAGCATAACAGTGAAGGAGCAGACAACTCGAGGGATGACTCGAGCAGCCACAGCGGGTCCGAAAGCAGTTCAGGGTCTGACTCTGAAAGTGAAAGCAGTTCCAGCGACAGCGAAGCTAACGAACCATCACAGAGCGCATCCCCCGAGGTAGGTGTGGACACCTCTTTGGGCTGTCTTCATTAGCTTGGCATTAATCCTGGGGTTTTAAAGCAGAAAAAAAGTTAATAAATCCTCCAACTGTCTTTGGGCTGTCTTCATTAGCTTGGCATTAATCCTGGGATTTTAAAGCAGAAAAAGTTAATAAATACTCCAACTGTTCAAAAAAACCCAACAAAACTGACAAAGGTGGGATCACTTTCAAGATGGAAAAGATGGAATATTCTTCTGCTGAAGCAGTGACAAAGGTGGGATCACTTTCAAGATGGAATATTCTTCTGCTGAAGCAACTGTAGTTGGAGATGGTAAAAACTCTTTATATAAGGGCACATTCGATGTTTGACTTTGAGATGATTTTTACCACCACCCGTTGGGGTTCAGAAATTAGATATAGTTACAGTAGCTTAAAAATCTGTGGGCTTTTAGTCTGGAAAGCCCTGACAGTGAGTGTTGTCTGTTGGTAGCAGCTGCTCCAGGTGAAGGGAAAATGAGAGCTGGTATTTGTCAGCATCATTGTTGTTCATCAACCTGTATTTCATTTGTTATTTATCTCAGTTTTTTTCAGGTACCTCTTGTTTTGGTGTGCAGTGTAGTACAGCTGTCCCATGGAAAAGCTGAAAGAAATGTGAAATGTTTTATCTAATGCTGGTTTTTTAATTTGTTTTTAGCCAGAGCCACCACCAACAAACAAGTGGCAGCTGGATAACTGGTTGAACAAAGTTAATTCCCATAAAGTGTCACCAGCTTCTTCCGTGGACAGCAATATCCCATCCTCCCAAGGCTACAAGAAGGAGGGCCGGGAGCAGGGGCCGGGCAGTGGATACGCTGATCAGAGCGGATCCAAGGACTCCATTTCTTCGACGCCGGGGCGAGATTCCAAACCCACCCAAAAGGGCTCGGAGAGCAGTCGCGGGAGGCAGAAATCACCTGCCCAGAGCGACAGCTCGACACAGAGGAGGACTGTAGGTAAAAAGCAGCCCAAGAAAGCGGAAAAGACATCTGTTGAAGAGCCTAGAGGAGGTCTTAAAATTGAAAGCGAAACCCCAGTAGACATGGCAACAAATATACCTTCCAACAGGCATAAGGCAGCCACCAAAGGCTCCAGGAAACCCAATATAAAGAAAGAGCCCAAATCTTCCCCTCGGCCTACAACGGAGAAAAAGAAATATAAGGCTTCAAGTAAATCTGCCCAGAAATCCAGGGAATTCATAGAAACAGATACCTCATCCTCTGATTCAGATGAAAACGAGAGCCTGCCTCCTTCATCGCAAACACCCAAATACTCTGAGAGCAATAGGACTCCTGTTAAATCTTCCATGGAGGAGGATGACAGCTTTTTTCGGCAAAGAATGTTCTCTCCTATGGAAGAGAAAGAGCTTCTTTCACCACTCAGTGACCCTGATGAAAGGTACCCACTTATTGTGAAGATTGACCTGAGCCTCTTATCACGAATACCAGGGAAGCCTTACAAGGATGCCGACGCACCCAAAGCGGAAAAGAAAAATGTGCCGGAGAAGCACACGAGAGAATCCCAGAAGCAGCCATCTGACAAAAGTTCTACAAAAGGCAAAAGGAAACACAAGCAGGTGATAATTTTGTAGATTTTTCCTGTTATCTCAGCCCCTTGGTGGATGGCTGCCGCTGTCTGTCCAGCGGCCTGGATCATACCTCAGTGTAGTCACTCTGAGTGGTTTCAGGGATGACTTTGGGTGGCTGTTCTGGGGAGAACAGGTTGATCATCCCAGTGCTGTCAGAGTAGAGGCTACTGGGATTTTCTTTTGCAGAGGGAAAGTGAGAAGGTAGTGCCTGTGGGAGTGTTAGTGCTGTAGCTACAGCTCATGGAGGCTTCAGGGCTTTACTGTAGTCACTCTGAGTGGTTTCAGGGATGACTTTGGGTGGCTGTTCTGGGGAGAACAGGTTGATCATCCCAGTGCTGTCAGAGTAGAGGCTACTGGGATTTTCTTTTGCAGAGGGAAAGTGAGAAGGTAGTGCCTGTGGGAGTGTTAGTGCTGTAGCTACAGCTCATGGAGGCCTCAGGACCTCTGGGGCCCTCTCGGGCCTCCACCCCATTGGCACCAGCCCCCATTGCACATGGCCAAAGAAATAAATAAATAAGGGCAGTTTTCAGCGGGATCAGCTCATTGAACCAGGGAATGATGTAGTTTCATGTTGCCAGGACAAGGGATGGGGCAGAAATGGGCCTGGGGCACAGCAGCAGCAGAAACCATAATCCAGGGGTGCTGCTTTACTGGGAGCAGAGACATCTCTCCATAATGCTGGTTAACCTCCAAAAAAAGCATTTCACCTTTTCAACTGGAAATAAAAAGCAGGAGTGCCTGGGGGTGATGAAATAGACAGGAATCAGTGGGGGACCTGAACAGAACAATAATCATGGAGGGGGGAATGGTAAGAAGTAGTTGGTGGTGTAATTTTAAACTGCTTTTAGAAAGCTCAGGGCACAGTCTGTAAAGAGCAAACCTGTGACTGTACCATGGACTCAGAGATCCAATTTCTTTACATTTCTGCTTTCCATGAAGTTTGGACTATGAAGCCCTGGTTCAGGGATTCAAAAATTGCCATGTTGCTCTGGATTTCATTCAGAAAATTTCATTTTGACAGGGATTTGGCAGTGGTTGAAAACTTTGTTGATTTGTGGAATCAAAGGATTATATGATATCATCCGGAGAGTCATTTGCCTCTCCAGAGGAGATACATAATTTCAGTTAAACCACTTTTCTTACAGAGCAACCTAAGGAAACATGGCCACGTACTGAAATTAGTGTCATCTAGACATGCTGTGTAACTGCAAACAGGGGGTTCTCCTGTGCCGCTCTTCTTAACTAAGATTCCTATTTTCTTTAGATAAGGAAATTAAATGAGAAGGTGTGAGCTTTTTTTTTTCAAAATTAGAATAACTCTGACTAATTAGTTTTTGCAAGTGTTACTGAATAATCCCTAACATCCGTGGGCATGCGCTCACAGGTTCCAGTGGCTCTGAATACACTGGCTTTTATTTCTTTGACCAGTCACACCTTTCAGTCCACACTTGGAGTTACAGCATTAAAGGTCTGTGCTCTTACATCTAAAGCAGGTAAGACCAATTAGATTTAGGCTTTATCCCGGCAAAGAGTCTGGTTGTTAATTGGTTTGGATCCTCACATTACCCTGGTGCTTACTGGTATGTACTGGGGAAGGTGGAAGGTGTTTGAGGCAATGAAAGAAAACCCACCCTTTTTCCCCAGATTTTAGGTTTGTGAGTGCTCTGTACACAACTGTCACTGCTTGATTTCTACACCTTTTTTGCTCGTGTGCTTCACTGATCCTAAGGCTCAGGGCTGCAGCATCGGTGGGACAGAAGCGAAACCTTTTGGGTTTGAATGTGGGTTATGTTACCAGATGACTTAGTCTGTGAGGCCCTATTTTCTGTTTTATTCACTGTCTTGGTGCTTCCAGCGCATGCTGCAGACAGCTGAGACATTTACCTTCCAGACCTTTGACTTTGAGATTAAATTTATATAAAAATCTCTGAGCTTACTTTAAAAGACTGCAAGACTGACATTTTTCTGACATTCACGAGACACCTCTGGTGGGCCCCACAACATAAAATCTTTCTCATGGTCTTTTATTGAAGCCTTTGGCAGATTTTCCTGGTATTTCGTGGTGATAAGACGTTTGTGCTAAAATGAACAATTTAACTGCTACTTCTTTTATGCAGGTTGGTAATTTAAAAGCCAGATTTTGTTTTTCATTATGGCCCAATATCAGGGTCTGGTCAAATATTTGGTACAGACAAGATGCTGTAGGGCATGTCTTTGTATCCTGTACGTATCTTATTCTGTACTCTACTAAATTAAGTCTCTGAATGTGAAATACTGCCAGTCGGTGAAGCTGTAAATGTGAACTTTTGCCTGGATGTATTTCTTGTTTGCTTTATCCAGAATGAGGATGAAAACAGAGCCAGTGAAAGCAAGAAAACGAAACTGGAAGAAAAAGCTCCATCAGGACACAAGACTTCTAGCAGTAGGGAGTGAGTATCTCAGCTGTGTTTCCAATGTTGAAGGCTTAGGGTGGTCAAGGAGGAGGAGGGTGCCTATCTCCTCCCTTTTTCTTCCCCCCACAGTGTTCCTTCATTATTTATCACTGGGTAAAATTAAATTTCATTGCTGCTTACCTTCAGACAGACTTTTTTTTTCTACTAGCAATTGGTGGAAATTAATTTCCAAATCCAAAACCAGTGGCCAAGGATAGTTGTTTTACACAAGAGAAGTCAGGTAACCCCTCGTGCAGGGCTGGAGTGTTATGATTCTGTGATTGTGGAATATATGGTGTATTATGGAATATATGCATCCTGGTTTTTCTCTAATGTGCAGTGGGGATTTGGTTTGTTTTAGAAAGCAGCTGTGCATCTAGCTTTTTAATCATGCAAAATCGGTGCTTTTAAATTTAACCCAGTCTGGGAATTCTCCAGTTAGTGAGTTTTTTGTGAAACTGAGAGTAAATTACTTACCTGGCATTGTCCGGGAGGCCGATGGCGCTGAGATTTGGCTCCAGGGATTTAGCCATGTTTTTGCTCCATAGATGAGCTAAAGAAAAGTGTGAATGACACAAAAGCAAAGTAACAGAGAATTAACAAAGCAGAAACGTCGTTTAATACTCTTGTTATTTGTATGTTATTTCTGTAACTTTCGATGCTTTTTGTTACAGCTATTATGCTTTTATTTGATTTATTTCTTGGTCAGTGTTAATCCACAGGAGAGAGTAAGGTTTTTTCCACTGCCTTTTAAAACTCTGCCATTTCAGAACATGCAACTCAAAACTGGTATAATTATGTCATGGAAAATATTTCTCTGTAGTGAGTAATTGTGAAATTGCAATGATGTGAGAAGCTGCAGCACATCAGATGTGAGAAATCTTGTTTGCCCATTCTGGATTAAACAGTGTCTTACTGTTTGTTAGAAACAGGCAGAGACCGAACGGATGCATTTCTAGCTTGATTATGCTTTCTTACCAATTATTTCTGATCTTTGCTTGGCTGCCAATGCAGTTCTCTGAGGGCCATTTAATTAAACATCTAACTGTATGATTTTATAAAAATAATGTGTTTAAATAATTATTATGTGAAGTCAAGAATAGTCGACAGTAGCCCCAGCAGCCGAGGTACTGAAAGGCTGTGTGGAGGAAGCTTCCCAGTTTCCTGGGTTCATCTTTTTATTTATCTGGAGCATCTTTTTTTCTGAGCTGTTGGGCTGAATATCAGCATCAGACAGGCTGGCGCTAACGCTGGCATTAATTTCTTACGTTGTAAGTGTTCAGGGTGTTTTTTTAGGAACTGTTGTAGGGATGTGGTTTTATGGTTAGAACTTGTCTACTGTGTTTTCAGGTCAGAACAAAGAAAATGGTGAAAACGAGTTCAATCTGGCTTCCTAGAAACCCAGTCACCGAGATGATTGTTCTCTTTCTTGTCCTCTCTGGTTTGCTAGATCGAACAGCAGAAATCTTGGTTGATTTTTTAAAATTAAAAAAAGAGGGCGTTATTTTATTTTTTTTTAAGTGGTGGAGTTTTGTTGGTTTGTTTGTTTGTTTTTGTTTTTTTAAGGGGAAAAAAAAAAAAAAAAGCCCAAGCCTGAATTTGTTCATTTTTGTCCAGGTCTTCAAAGCCAAGTGCTGTTAAGGAGAAGGATTTGCTGCCGTCTCCTGCCGCCCCGGTCCTGCAGAAAGATTCCAAGCAGGAGCACGGGTCGCGGAAGAGGACGGTCAGTCAGTCCTCATCCCTCAAGTCCAGCAGCAACCTCAGCAAGGAGAGCGGCAGCAAAAGCAGCTCCTCTTCTAAACAGAAGAAGACCGAGGGGAAGGGCTCTGGCAGCACTAAAGAATCCAAGGTAAAGGGTTTATTCTGTAACCACCTCCAGCCTCTTCCTTTGCTTCGCCATTTGACGTGCTCAGTGTGATCTGAACAATAATTTGCAGGTCAGGTTAAAAGGTAATTAGTTTCAGATAAGCATTGTTTCATGCCTTGGAAGTCTATAAATTAGAAAATAATTTGGGAGAGATTGTGGACTACTAATGTTTATTCCTACCAAATTCGTGTGTTAGTGAAATGTGCTTAGTCATCTTCTGATTACAAATGCTGCTTATTTATATTTTAATTTGTTAATAGGAAATATCACTAGAAAGCAGTTTACACAACAGTAAATGGAGCAACAAGGTTGCTTTTGTCTCATCAGAGCTCTGATTTTTTGAGGAGAGCAGGAGGTCGGGCTGTGCCCAGCACTAGGATGTGAAGCTGTAGCTCTTGGTTATGACACTGTGGGACCCCAGAAGATTATATTGACTCCAGCTCAGGAATGTACAGCACTTTCTGTAGTTGGAGTGGAGAAAACATGGTTATAAAGATGGTGCAGAAAATGTTTTTAAGGAGATTTAGGTTAGAAAGAGATTTAGGTGGTAGAATTTAAAAATATTATAGGCAGATGATACTCTTAGGTTACTAAATTGAAATGTGTCTTTTCATCAGTATGTAAATGTGTGTAACTGGACAGAAATCAGCCTGTGAGGGCACCTGGGAGCGTGTTGAATACCTGTGATGAGCAGTTTCTGTTGTGTGGTCAGTTGTGGAGCATGTTCCATCTTTGCCCGTGCTCCAGGCGTGGGGGGCTCCAGGTGCTCAGCAGCAAAGCCCCAACTCATTCCGTGGGCTGGAAGACTCCCCCAGTTAGATTTGCAGTCCCCAAAAAGCTTTGAAACAAAGTCTGAAAACGTTCAGGGAGGATCATTGATCTGGGGAGGAGTAAAGCAGCAAATAAACATCAGCAGTGGCAGAAAGTACCTTAGTCACCGGGGTGGGGGTGGTGAATCTCTGCTCTGGGAGCTGAGCAGGGTGACACCGCCAATGCCCTGAGATTTATACCTCAGATACGCTTAGTCAGCCCTTTCTTAAAGCAGTATCTTCTCTTCCTGTGTGTCACTGTGTGTTTTGTCATTGTGCCTGCAGTACAACGTAGATAGTTCATTGCTTTGCCAATCTGGTGCCTTGGTGACTGCCAGATCCTCCTGATTAGCGACAATCTGATAAACGTAGTTATGAAATACACCACGGAGGTGGCCCTGGGTCATGATAAGTCAAGACAGCAGAAAACACACATGAAGCTGGGGAGTTGTTTTATACTAAAAACTGATTAACTTGCTATTCATGGCATATTTCTAGTGTCTGGTCTTTACGCTGAAGTGTCACGTTGAGCCATGTATAATTTAGGGCAGCAAGGACAGTGTGTTGTGAAGACAGGTAACTTTTCTCCTTGAAGATGATGCTTATCCTTCCAAAATATCTTTTTTTTTTCCCAATGCAAAGACATTCAGCAGAGAAATGAGAAATTGTAAAAATCCTTATGCCCCCTTTGTTAGAGAAAAACAGGGTTTAGAAAGAGTGATATGGGAGATGAGGGAGGGATTTCCTAGAGGCAGGTGTGTAGAAAGCCTCGGCTGCCTGCCTTCCTCTGGAGGGGATCTCCTGGTGTGTCAGAGCGAGGAGCTGATTGTAGCTGCTGGGTCTTCTCTGTGCCAGCGTGAGGTGGGAGCCTCATGGAAGCTGTGTTTTACAGCAAATTGCAGCTAAAGCAGCTGCAGAAGTGACCTTATTGTATGTAATCCATTAAATCACGGGAGGAATTCATACAACAAGGGCTTTTCTTGAAGGCAGAGAAGATTTAACTATTCTTTAAATTTACTATTTGGCAATAATTTTCCTTTCAGGAAAAGATTCTGAACAATGCATCAAACTGCCCTCCTGCGTCTGCTCCCTCTACGGAAAGTTCAAAGTCAAGAAGAGCAAAACTTGTTTTTGATGACAGGTAAGAAGAGCAAGAGGTGCCTTTCCCTTTGCAGGGCTGTGATTGTGGGTGCATAACCACCTCCCTGTGGGGGGGGGGTGCTCCTTTTGCTTCCAAAAAGCTGTTAAGGACAAGCTCAGGCTCTGGAGAGCTGTGCCTTGTTCCTGGGGGGATGTGCCCTGGGCCATCAGCTCTGCAGACAGCTCGGTCTGCCCTCTACTTTCTTGCCGAGCATAAAGGGAGCAGCAAAAGCTTAAATATCTCAGAGTTATTCTGGTTTTAAGTGCTGGTGGGTCCTTTTCACTTCCCAGGACGCTGCTGCTGCCTCTGCTTGTTCTCACCAGAGCCCGCGTCCTCTAGAGGCAGGAGTTGTGGTTGGTGACAGTCGAGAGGAGCCTTTGTTTCTTGAAATCCCAGATCCACAAGAGCAGGATCGGGATTTAATCCTGGGGGGTCAAAGAAAATACCTTGAAAAGAAAATGAAACAAGTATTTTACCGTCTTGTGGAGGCTTTAGGTTTCTCATGTACCAAGTCAAATCTCAGCACAGTGCTTCCTCTTGAAGCATTTCTCTTTGTTGTTCTTTAAATTCACTTTACAGGTAAAATTATGTTTATACTAAACATATCTTGTAAGTGGACAGTTAAAAAATGCTGATTTCAAATATCTTTAATACAAATAAATTAAGTAAGATAGGGTGGATGGGAGAATTTATTTCAAACTTTAATCAACTCGTAGGTGATATGTTAATATATTGTAATGTCTAATTACAGTTTTATGATTGCTTTCTGCTCACCTAGTCATGGAAGTCATTTAACATTGATTGTCTTGGGTGGCTAAGCAAAAGCAATTAACACCTGAATGCTTCTTTATTTATTATTATTATCATCATTTTTAAATATTTCACACCCTCAGAACTCCAGTCCTGGAGGTGCTGGATTAATTTGTCCTCAAATTTTGATGTTTTTTTCCTTTCCCCTGCCCATGTTGTTGGTCAAGTGTTTGATTTGCTTGACAATCAAATGCAATAAATTTAACCAAGTCACTTTTACTTATCAACTTGCTTGAAACACTGTTTAGAATTATCTGCTTTGAACTATTTTTAGCAATTTGATCACACCGTAACTAATCCCACTAGTTAACTTTAACAGTTTTATCACAGTAAAAGCTGTACCATAGGAGCTCTTGTAACCTGAGTTAGGCAGAAAAAATGTGAAATTTGACAACATGCAGAAACTTTAAGGAAATAAAAGGAACTGTGGTGTGGGTGGGGCTGAGTCCATGAGTTTGTGTCTCTGTTGCAGGACTTACTCAGCTGATCATTATTTACAAGAAGCAAAGAAGTTAAAACACAACGCGGACGCATTGGTAAGTAAATCTTTCAATACCTCCCCAACGTTTGCAGGTTATACTGGGGTTATGAACTGCTTTTGCCCTTTTGCTGCCCTTCTGTACGGGACCTTTCTTGTTCTTCCTCTCTGGTTTTTGTCCTTACGCGTTTCCTGGGCTCTCCCCAGTCTGACAGGTTTGAGAAGGCCGTGTACTACCTGGATGCTGTGGTGTCCTTCATCGAGTGCGGGAATGCATTGGAGAAAAACGCTCAGGAATCCAAGTCCCCGTTCCCTATGTATTCAGAAACTGTGGAATTAATCAAGTAAGCATTGCAAAGGGCGTACAAACGTCAGGTGGGTGGGGAAGAGGTCTGGAAATCAGAGTTTGCTTTTAGATTTACTAAAGTTTAGCCACCAACTTCTGAAATTTCTTATCGTTCTCTAATAAAACTGGATCACTTACCAGTTCGTTCCAGTTGCTGAGGCTTAAAGTGGTTTTGTGGGGGTTGAGATCCTTTCTGTTGAGGCTCTCGATGTCTCTCTGCAACGTATAACTCAAAAGAAGCAAAATTACTCCAATTACTACCTAATCAGTGTTTAGTTTAGGGTCTGAGAGAGGTTCCTGAAGGGTTGAAGAGAGTTGAACTAGAAATTCATAAGAACGTCAGTGTTTTCTGATTGATAAATGATGCTGTAATCTTCATTTTGTTGTTTACCTGATGCCTTTGTTTGCAGATACACTATGAAACTGAAGAATTACTTGGCACCAGACGCCACGGCTGCAGATAAGAGGCTGGCAGTGCTTTGGTACGTGTGCTCGGAACTTCATACGACCCACTGATTAATTTCAGATGCTTTATCTGCATGAAATGCTGTATTACACTGAGTCATCAGGTGTTTCTGAAGCAGATTTATTAGTATTCCACTTGGCTGCATGTAAAGATTAAAGCTGTATAACTGATTACTGTGAACTGGAGGAGAGGGGACATTGACAAGGGCCAAGTCTTTGAAATATTAAGGAAGTGACTAAATTTATGGGGAGTAACTGCAGAAAGGACGGGGGCCTTCCTGTGTACTCCCCCGGGGATGAGTCCACATTTGGAGTGGCTGTGAAGAATTGTCACCAGCCTCCTGGATCAGTGGAATGGCCCCTGCAGCGTAAGGACCAGAACCAGGTGGTGTCAGGTGGAGAAGAAGGGGGAGGCCGTGGCAGAACACGATGGACTCAGAATGTCCTGGCACAAGCAAAAAATCAATGAAACCCTTGTGTAGGAAGCACCTCAGGGATGTCTCCTGAGCTGGGAACTGGTTCTGTCAGCAAGATCTCTGAAAGTTAGCGTTTCAGCTTACGGCACACAAAACTCTGCTTTTGTTTCCTTGAGAATGTAAAGGTGCTTACGGATATTTTGATAGACCTACAACTCGAAACTTGGCAGAGAAAGCTTTAAAAGCACAGCTGGGAGATTTTTGAACTTCACTCAGTTGTGATTAACCTGACTCTAACTGTCCATGTTTTGTTATTCTGTCTTTGGTCAGTCTTCGGTGTCAATCTCTACTATACCTAAGGCTTTTCAAACTGAAAAAGGAAAGTGCATTGAAATATTCTAAAACTCTGACTGAGCATCTGAAGGTAATTGCAGTATTTTCTTAGAATATTAGAACCTAATCAAATTTAAGCTCTACAGCACTTCAAATTCCTGGAGGCAGTTTTCAGACTGCTACATGGGAACTTGGAATAAACCCTATTTAGAACTGGACCTTGAAAGTAT